CCGGGACCCTTCAGCCTGAGGGCCAATGCTCTAACCACTGCGCCCCCGGCCAGGGCCGATTTTAACCATTTTTTAAAAAATATACTTTTATTGATTTCAGAGAGGAAGGAAGAGGGAGAGATAGAAACATCAATGATGAAAGAGAATCATTGATTGGCTGCCTCCAGCACACCCCACACTGGTGACCAAGCCCGTAACCACAGCATATGGCCTGACTGGAATCGAACCATGACCTCCTGGTTCATAGGTCGACCCTCACCACTGAGCCACAGCGGCCAGCCTTAACCATTTTTAAGTGCGCAGTTCAGTGGCATTAAATGCATTCCTTCTTGTTTTTAACAGTCATCTTTTTGATGGTCCCCCACACAGCCGCCACATGCACTGAGACCAGGCCCCCAAATTTGTCACACGGTCCCATGCCACGCCTGGCACAGCCCTGAAGGATGCCGCCCACACTGTCCCACAGTCCCAAGCAATCCCAGATAGTGACCACCCACAGGGCGTCCGTCACACCCGGTCCCTCACACGCAGCCAAGCAGCTTCCTTGGTGCTGTTCCCGCACACCTTCCTTCACGCAGCCTCCACCGCGCTGAGCGCGTCCATGTCCTGGTGTCTCACACACACACTCACACTCACTCACACTCACTCACATACACACTCATACTCATGCACACACACACTCACACACACACACACACACTCACACACTCACACACACACACACACACTCACACACTCACACACACTCACTCACACACATACACACACACACACACACACACACACACCCCATACCGTCAGTTTTTCTCATACAAAGTGTCATATACACCTGGGATCCTTCCCCAGATCTCCACCAAAAACCCTACACAAAAACAAAACAAAGTGTCACACACACAGACCATGAGAGTCCTATACACTGAGTCCATCTCACATGCTGTGCGCACACATGTAGCATCATGAGCAGTCACGCCACAGCGCCCTGGGTCACACAGAATTACTCATTCTACTCTGACACGCACAGCATCACCCCATCGCTGTGTCCCTCACACACGCAGAGCATCAAACTCCCACCCAGGGCCAGACTCAGGCTCCCCCGATGGTCCGGAGCCAGCGTCTCTCCTAAACACACCCGTGAGCACTCAGCCACACTCACCATCATCACAGTTTCGCCCATGTACATGCAGTGCAGTCACACAGACATGTCACATACAGGCTTGCGTGCATCTGTCCAGCCTCGCACGCAGCCGCACACACAAACTGGTTGTACCTGGTTCGCTCATGCCCGCACCCACCCCTCAGACTCCCCCACAGTATCCCCTGGGTTTCTCGCGCACACCTCCAGCGGCACCCACAGTTGCACTCTTTTCCCGCTATCGCTTCCTGTCCTCTCGGGCCTGGCAGGGAGCACAGGAAGCAATCAGCTCTCTAGGAAACCTCCAGGCTGGGGCTGCAGGGATCCCAGGGAGAGAGAATTCTGCCCGCCCACGGCCTCCAGCGGGACCCTCTCCATCCTGTGTCCTCCCCGAGGGGCAGCCCCTCTCCTGCAGGCAGCCCAAGGCTGGCACCACACCAGGAGGAAGGGAAGGTCAGGGCAAGGCCATGGGGACAGAGCGGGGGTCACATGCTGACCTCTGCTCCAGCTCTGACCAGGGAAGCTCCCGCCACGGCCCCAGGGCTGCCCCGAGGAGGTCCGGGGAGACCTGGGTCCTCAAGGCCACCCCTGGGACCTCCAGCTTCTGCAGCCTCCATGTGGGAAGAAGAGGGGGTGACCTCCACGCCACCTCCACAGAAAGCTGCAGGATTTAGAACCATCATGGCCCCTAGCTCCCCGGCCTGGTGCTACCAGCACCCTTCCCCACCCTCCTCAGAGCTGAAGCCTCTGTCCCCTCCTCCTCCTGAGCGAGGAGATGGGCAGGGCTGATACCCTTGCAGCTCAACACTGAGGTCTAAGGAGTTGGGGGTCGGGAACCAGGCGCAGGGCCCGCCACCCAAGTGGCCTCTGACGCCACTCATCCCATCCCGCTTGCCAGACCCCACAGCCACTTCAGCGGGCAAGTTCCCCCACTCCACCTGGCTTCCCTGTCCCTCGAGCCCTGCTGCCTGCAACACTGCGGCCACGCTTACCTGGTTCAGCTTCTCCTCAGTCACCCCTGGCTTGTCCTCGCCTTCTTGCTAAGACCACGGGGTCGCCCACTGACCTCTCCAGACCACACAGGTTCCGGTTCCATAATGGGAGGGGGGGAAGGCTGACTGACAGAGCCTCCGGGAGGGGCTCAGAGAAAAGGGATCTGGGAAGTCACTGTTCCCAGCAGGGAAACCAAGGCCTGACAAGGCCCACCAAGATGACACCGCTGGCTCAAGTCCAGCTGGGACCAGATATCTAATTTCTAGGCTTCCTCTGTGAGATGTTTCATTCTAGTTTTAATATTTCCTCATCTGGTAGAATGTACCAGGTTCTGAGGGTGAGGGCAGGAACAGGGCCCAGGACACACACACACACACACACACACACACACAGCTCCGTCCTGCCAATCACTGACCATCCTACTCAGTGTTCCCCAGCCCTAATGCCTAATTAACATTAATTACCGTCCCTTGTCTAGGGGGCTAGGGGAAGGCCCGAGGTCAGACTCCCATTGGCTCCAGCCTCTCTCGGAGGGGGGCATCCGGGGCCCACGAAGTCACCCTCAACACAACCCTATTTCGTAGGAGATACATCTGCCCACGCCCTGCCCATTGAGTGCGCAGGGGTCCAGCGTTCCACGGAAACATGTCCTGGGTTGACACCCCTTGGAAAAGGAACTACAAATACCTGGAAGGGAGGAGGAGGTAACTCTCCCAAATCTCCACCTTTTGGGGACTTGGATTTCCCTTCTTGACCCAGGCTGCCCCCCGCATTCTGGTCAAGGAGGCCTCCCTCCGGGGTGGATCGCGCCTCCCTAGAACCAGGCCACAGAAGGCAGGACACAGAGCGCCGTGGGCTGCCCAGCCCCCAGCCCTATCCCCTGATCTCCGGGCTACAAGCCCAGGCCTGACCTGCTTCTGCCTCTACCTGGAGAGGGAAGACACACAGAAGCCTCCCCCAGGCCCCATTCGCACTTGTCCGGAACGAATCTCGCAGCCCTGGGTCTGGGCCGCTCTCCTAGAAAGGGGACACAGCGGGGTCTCCATGACAGGGCCTGGCCGGGCTGGAAGCGGATGCGGACCGGCATCCCGCCCTCCCTCCCCCGGCAGGAGTAAAGGGCATGGCCGACGTGGTGATGGTCAGGACGAGCCGCCTTCAACCCTAAAGCCTAGACCAGGGCTCTGAGGAAGCGTGGCGAAGAGAAGGCCCCAAATCCAGCCGCCTTCGGAGCGGGGCGCGCAGCGCTCAGGGCAGGACCCGAACCTCCCC